TGCAGCCTCAAAGGGTATGGTTTTTCAGCCTTTTTGGTCAAAAATAGGGTATCGATTTTAGCTATTTTTGTCAGAAATAGGGTATGTTTCTTAGAAGAAGTTACTTTTTCCTTATTATCGATAAGACCATCAACAAAAGCCGTTCATAAATTTATGTTTAGAGCAACTGTGCCAGTCCGCAATGGCCATAAATAAGGTATCAAATTGTTGGTCAGGTCATAACGGGGGTAGGGAAAATCGCAGATTTTGGTGATAAATTGGGTAAGGGTTTTGGGAAGCGGGGCCGCACACTCCCAGCCAATTTTTCTGGGAGCACCCCCGCCCCGAAATTAATGGAATCCTGGCCCTGAGAGTCAGTAGGGGTTAGCTCATAGCAGAGCATTGTTTAGATGGCGTGCTTTTACTGATAGCTGAGGAATTTGAATACAACCCCTCACTGAGTTGTCTGTTACCTGATTGTTCCGTAAACATTTCTCGCAATTGGCCATTTTTAGCTGTGCCTAATGAAGTTAGGTTTAAATAAGCCCTAACCAAAGAGAATTTTATAAGCTGCACCATGTTGCGGATTGTTGTCACGTACAGGCCACTGAAGACTACTTCAGCGGTAATTTGTGGGTTTCATAATCCTTCTCACAGAGTTGTTTGGCTGTCATTTCTCATCAAATCTATCTATAAATAAATAGGCTGCGCAGTTATCACCTTGACCTTAACTTCACTGATTTGACCGGTAAAGTTTTCGGTAATTTTCATTGGTCAGTGGCCTGTGAACAGCAAGTGCGATGCACGCGTTCCGCAGCCAGGATATCATTTGGAGCTGAGGATTATCGCGTGGTATAGTGTCTCGCGTGACCAATTCTGACCAATCAACACCATATAACCATTCTTGAAGGATTACTCTCAACAATGAAGTATTTACGATTTCCTCTATCCATCAGCTATGTCAGGTATTTCAAAATGTTTTAGGCTGGAAATAAATAAAATTTTATTTGAAGAAGGGCTTGAATTCATAACCTGTGATCAGGCGTTCTTTTTTGGAGCGAACGAACAAAAAAACACTACATTTGCCCCCCCCAAAAACGGTTGATTGCATGTTATTAAATTCGTTGCTTGTGTGCGTCTTTGTTGGGAAGAATTTCTAGTCAAAGGAGTGTCTGCGTAGCTAGAGGGCCAATTGCCCCACAAACGTTTCACTATGGTCTGGGATGTGTTAACTGTCGCGTGATTACAGTCTGCCACGTGAGAGATGCCATGTCAGAGATGCCACATGACAGATGCAACGTGACCTTGTTTGGCCAATCCGTACAATAGAAAAAGAAACATTGATGGGAAAAGCTGTCAATAAAATTAATGCAATGCAACGGTCGTGTAGACAAAGAACGCCCCAAGACCACACGAAAATTATAGGGATCATCCCAGGTGTTGCGACCAGTCCGAAGATTCGAAGCCTTTCGAATGTCGACCGAAAACCACCTGTAGTATAACAAGGATTTAGAAGTCTTTCGAAGAATTTCGAAGCTCAACTGCAACTGAACCCGTCACCCGAGAGATGGACACTTTTTTTTTTAACTCGGATAAACGATAATTCGGCACCCTCAAAGAGACCCTCACTTTAAAATTATGTTACACGACAGCGAAATTTTCTTTGGTGACTCTGATCTCTAGCCATTTTTTTGAGTACTACGGCCCCGCAAATGATCCCGGCCCGCAAATGATCCCCGTACCGCAAATGAATCCCAGATTGCACCGTAAATGATCCCAGGACCGGAAATGATTCCCAGATTGTACCATAAATGATCCCGGACCAGAAATGGTCGGCTTGCCATAAAATTTGGAAATGTGAGGACTCGGGAATTTGGACAGTGGATTTTAAATTTATGCAATCGCTTTT